GCAGTATTTATTTTATCATTAGTTCTGGATTTAGAATTTTTATCAGATGCTGTTTTATAAGGTCCTTTATACTTGACAAATTAGTTTGCAAATTGTTGAAGGCTAAAACTGTTCCCTATAATTATCATCCTCTATCAATTGTCAATCATGTCAATATGGGTTTCTTTTAAAAACAACTTTTCCCAAGGAAAAACTAAAGTTGAAAAAAATAGTTAAACCCAGATATGCTGCTGCTGAAGAAATTAACATTAAAGGCCAGGGCTGACCTAGATAGAAATCCGGTTGGAGAGCAATTAAGCCAATAAGGAAATGGGAGGGGCCTAACTATCTTATCAATTATTTATAGAATTCAGCATGGTAAACAGAAAACAAACACATGTGGAATTTACCTTTGTGTAGATATTTATAATCCAGTCTAAAATAAATAACTAAGAAATAACAAGATTATGTTGATCAGAAATATAAGCATGTTGATAATTGTTAACACTTGTAAATTTAATGCATTGGTGTAATTATTCTGTTTTTAAAAGAAACTAGAAATGTAGTGGTTCCAAATGTTTATCCTGTAATTATATGTTAGTTTTTTGTAAACTTTCTTTCCTTTTTGTGAAGCTGGTGCATTAGGATTCCTTGATTTCCACACTGATGTATAGCCTCTGTCCACATTCTCATTCCAATGACATACTGCCAAATTTGATCTTAATTTATATTGATCATCACCAAAGCAAATTCTTTTGTCTTGAAATATGTTCACAACATTGTTAAAACTTTCAACATAAAATGTGTCTTTAGCAAGAATGTAATCTTGAGGATATTTATAAATGGTTGAACTTTTTATAGCAGACTCTAACATTTTTCTGACTTTTCCATTTGTAATTACAATCCTAGATGGCTCATAGTTTGAATCAACTTTGCACCTTGATGAATGATGACAATTTACATGGTTATTACAATAATGTTCAACAATGTTATCCAAACTTTCCTTAAGTTTTAGAGAATTTTGCTCACAGTTACGGACGGCCCAGTTAATGTGTGTTGCTATGGGTTCAACTTTATCTCCCAGCTGTACACTCCAACTTATACCCTCTGAACGTTTTGTACCTTTTTGAAATCTTGGTGACAGCTTTTTTTACAGCCTTGACAGCATGCCATAAGTCATTCTGATTGACAGTAAATTGAGTGTCCCTCACAAATTTATTTACAGCCAAATTTCTATCATGTGCATGAATTTTAATGGACACATTTTTATTCTCCAAATTTTCATAAATTATTTGTGTTCCCAGTCTTTCATGTCGTTGGGCAACTTTATCCTGTGACTTTGTAACATGTTCGCAGTCCATCACTTTGTGAGTTTTTTCTCCTAATGCTACAACTGTAGTATCTTTCGCATTTTTCCTCCAACCATGTCTAGCATCTGTCATGATGTTGATGCCATCTAGGTCATCATATGAAGAAATTTCATCATTTATGGCATTGTCAACTGATTGAACACTTTCATTTTCAGCATGTTCTTTATATTTTCTAAAGAACTTTGATCTTCTCTCTTTAGTGATGCAGCCAATTCCTGCCCCATTTACAAATCTAGTGTAATGTACTGGCAAAAGTCCGCTACTATAAAACGCATGACAAATCCTGTGATTGACCAAGAACTCATCATTTGGAAGGTACGATGATGACGACCATAAGTAGGAATGTGATTTTTCCTTGGTACACATCAGTCTTACAGATGCTACATGTCCTTTCATAGTTCTTTTCAATACTTTTAGCTTTCCATTACAAATACTGGTATGTGCTTCAAAAAGTTCTCCATATGTATCCAAAGATTTTTCTGCAGTAACGAACAGTCCTTGGTCTACATCCTGGCGTCTTGTTTGGGAATAGGTGGATGGGAAAGGATGAAGTTCTTTCGAATTGTCACTTCCAAGTTGTTGTTAATCCAAAAGTCTAAAAGTTCCTCTATAATTAAACTATTGTTAACTGGCTTATTCAAAGTTGAAGTCAAATAACTCTTTACTCTTTGAAGTTTTTCCAAAATTCTACTTTTGACAGTCTCATCACCAGGAATTTCTATTCTAAAATTGGGAGGACGTTTTCGTGAAGAATCTTGTTTTTCAGTAGCCATGATCATGAAAGAAATTGAAGGAATGAGCAGAAATGGGATATGAAATAATCAGGAGATTATGTTTCATGATATTCAGTTACAGCTGGTTCCAACTTAGAAAAATGTATCTAAAGGGTTCATGATCATTGATTTTTATATAAATAAAAGTGATCAATGCAAATGTCTTTGATCATTACATGGCTTTTTCAATAAATTAATTTTGGATTTTTTTTTTTTTTTTTTTTTTTGTGATTTGTTGTCAAAAAATAGTATTTCATTTCTTGCTAAATGAATAACTACATGTAATCCCCTAATTGCCTCTGGACTTGACATGCAATCCCCTAATTGCCTCTGGACTTGTTTACATCTAATGTACAATTTTTATCAGGTCACCTGCAGAGTCAGCAACTTTCTGTACACATAACCTGGTGATAAAATCCAGACCAGATTATCTTTGAAGTCATATAAATATTTTGTTTGTGTGCATTCTACATTATCCTAAAAATGAGTGATAAGAAAGTTACTATGGAATTAAGTGATATTCAATTAGAAACTATAAAAAATTTGTTTGGGCATAATGATTGGGAAATTAAAATTCTTGATGACTCTGCTGTTACTAATGAAAAAGGCGGGAATGCACAAAATCCACAGATGACAACAGAACAGAGTACTCAAACAGACAACAATGAGGAAGATGAAGACGATGATCAGCCTGGATTTCTCATACATCAAGACCCGTCCCAAGAAGAATGCAGATATTGCTTTTGTAAGCCATGCATTACGGATGAACAAAACAGACAAATGTGGTGGCATGGTCAGTCAGAAGTACCCCATCAAAGAAACTCAAGTTTGAGAAAGGAACACTACAAAAGATTTTGGACTATGCTTCTCCATCGTGGTGCGTGGAATGATGATAGATATTTAGTTATGAAAGCAGATGCCATGACCAGGGACCACAGAACCCAAAGATTTGACTGGCACAAGAGAGACATTATGCCAAAATGTGTTGTGACACTTGTTCGTTATTGGTTTCCAAATCCTGGTGGGTTTCCGTACATGGGACACATGTGGGAATAATTTTCTTTATTCTGCTGCTGGATTTTTATCATTTTAATTGAAAGTCCTTTGTTCTGTATATAACACAATTTTGGAGGGAAAATGATTGTGACCGGATAACATTGAATTTTATGACTGTAGTTACATTTTTTGGCAAATTAGCTGCATATTTATTTGGTTCTTTGAATTATGAAAGAAATATAGAATGGATATAAGGATTATGTAGGAATGAAATAATTTTAACACAACAGGTAAGGTGTTTGTTGATTTTTTGCATGGAAGCATGGCTGCATGGCAACATTTACTTCCTGTGTAAACAAAAACAATGTTTATATCCGCCCAGCTGTCAATCAAAGTATATTTCAAATGAAAAGTACCTCTGCTTCATGATTTGTTTTAGGAATATAAAGAAATAAAATTAGTTAATAATTTTTATTTATCCTGCAACATATTATATAGTTCAGTTCTAGGTTCTGTGACAATTTTTTTTTCTAAAAATCACTCTTTGAACAAGGTAATTCTAAAAAATATGTCCCTGAAATGAATGTGGCTAAGAAATTTGAATTTACCACTATTTCATTCATTGGCTGCTATTTATACTCTTTCCCTGGCCTTTAACAATGGTATTTTTCAAATATAGCATTCATTAATTACACTATTCCTTCACAGTGAAAATGAAAAAAAAAAATATTTTAAATTGAATGCATCCATGGGCTTTCCTGGATTAACCTTCAACAGGTATGCTCAATACCATAGTACATATACAAGTCTTAATACAAGTGAGAGCTATATGACCATTAAGAGCATTAAAAAAAGCTATATTGCTTCTGAGGTCTACTTTGAAGATGGCATATGAATGTGTCACTCTGATTTTGGTGATCCTGTTTTGTTGCGTTGATATCAATGTTCGACCAACAATTTTTATTTCACACTAATCTTTTTCGGGGTCTATCATGATGGATATTTTAGGTACTGTAAATTCAGAAAGGATAGCAAAGTTTTTATTACTGCAATAATGTGAGTGGGTGAGTATCTAAATAATAAATTGCATTCTGATACCTTTTAATCTGATTAAAATGCAAATCCTGTGTCCAAGCTTATTACAAGAAAACAAAGCTTGGACACAGGATCTATACTTAAATCAGATTCATACCATTCCTATATCTGTGTGCTGATTTTTCTGCAAAAGCAATACTTTTTCACACATTTTATTCCAATATATCATTCTACATATTTGCAATAATAAAAGCACACAATAATTTGCAAAATCATGTGATTACATATAGGAAAAGGGCACCTAGGCATCTCATTCTAAATACTACACATGGAGCAGGATCTGCTTACTCTTCCAGAGCACCTGAGATCATCTGTATTTTGTGGGTTCAAGTTGCTCAGTTTTCATTTTTCTAATTTGTATATTAGTTTAAACTTTTCATCAAAGTCTGAAAACAGAGATATGTATCTGCTGAAAATGATTTATTTAGGTGCAGGGGTCACCACACTTCAAAATCTCCCTGGAAGCATATAACAGTGAAAAGTCATGTCATGAGAGGCCATTAGAGAGACATCAAGGATACCTCTGGGAGAAGTGAACGAATCTAAAACCACTCCGTTTAAGTCCTTCACACCTAATAAATCATTAAAGTAGACCTTTTACATCTTTTATATTTTTTTATGTCTCAAATACTATAGTACATACATATATATGGCTAATATGCTTGCTTTGCATCTATGAATGTTTTATTGTATTGCAGCAGCAGCATTGTCTCATGTACATCTACCCCATGTTATCAATATAAAATGATTATGGTGTTTCACTTTGTATATTTAAAATATAAAAATGTTAAGAAAAAAAAGTTTATTAAAAGATAAATAAATACAAATGCATAAAAATAATGTTAAGATGAAACATATGTGAATAATATCTTAAGTTATTATAAGAAAAATAAACTTCAATCAAATAAACAAAATTTAATACAACTTAATACTTTGAAAGTAAAAAAAAAAACAAACGCATAACAATAAAGTTTAAAATTTAAGAAGCATTATTGTTAAAAAGTCCAAGTTAAAGTAAAAACAAGTCAAATAGTTCTCTGTTCCATAAATCCTCAAAATGGAAATGTTTCCTGCTCTTCTTTATTCCTTATTTCTATTGATATCTGTAAATATATAAATTTATGCATATGATATTAAATGAAAAAAAATTCCAACTTCTCTAGAGTTGTCATATGAAATTATAATTTATATTTTAATTGTCTACTGATTCTTATGTGGTCCAAGTTTTAATTTAAATTGAATGATTCTAATTTCACTAATGTAAAACTAATCAGATGTGAAATAACTGCCAATGAGACAACTATCCCCAAAAACTCAAATGGAGTGGATATAAGCAATTTTATGCTACACTAAAGCCTTCAAACATGAGAAAATCCCATAATGTATATACTTAATTTTGTTTTTAGATATTTATTAGGTATATAAGCTTCAATAAAAATAAACAAAAAAATTTAGACTTTTGGTGTAAATAAATAATTTATTTTAATGACTTTATATAATATGTCTGATAAGAAAAGGTCATAATCATATACAGCAACATATGTTCAAAGAAATTTTTCTATTTATTTATTCATTAACTTCAGTATCTTAACATGTTAAAGTTAAATTCATCACTATAATAACATATCAATCTTTTTAATAGATATTAATATATATTTAAATAAAGTTTAACTTCATATGCAACATTAAATTATCATATCTGTTATTTCAAAGGTAACTTTTCATTCAATCATTCATATATATATCTTTAATTCCTCATAAATGATATTAAATGTAAGTAAACGTCCTAATTACAAACAAAATATCAGTATGAGAGCAAAAATTTAAAGTAAATGCACAAGTAAGTCTGCATTCAGGTTGTGAGTTCAAACTCTCCTTGTGCGGGTTATCTGAACTCCAATCAAAACTGATTAGGATTGCTGTAACCAAAGGTCTGTGGTTTTCTATGACGGACAGACAGACGCACGGATGGACAACGGTATACCATAATACCTCTCATAAACAGGCGTATAAAAAGGAGGGTTCTTTTTCCAAATTGTCTTTGCCTAATGAATATTCTATTAAGAATTTCTTTTAAATATTTAGGAAATTTCCTTTTATCATTAAATGACATTTAACAAAATAAATGTGAAAATTACTAAGAATATTCATTTCTAATGAAAATTAATCTTCAAAATGACAACAGATTATGGATCTATTCTAAATTTTAAAAAAATGGAAAATTAATAAAAAAAAATCATAACTTCATATTACATTCCTTTAACTGAATCTGAACATGATTAATAAAAAAAAAACACTGACTAGATTGTCAAAATCTTATGAAGAATATTTATATTTCAAGTAAAGACAGAAAATGTCAAAATGTTGACTTTCTTATCAGATAACCTATGTGTAACATCTGTGGTCAGTTTATTGGGAAGAGTGATATATAAATTACAAGGACTTTAAACTGTGAAGCTTATCAGTTGTGAAATTTGAGATTCCCTCAAATCTGAGGGCCCATTCTTCGGGCTGTACTATAAAGTATATGAGCAATCAGGCATCCACCACCAATAAAACCTGGCCACAACACCTAGCCAATACTGTGGCGTTAAAAATCAACAATCAATCACATATTATTTGTGTTTTTTTAGCATAGAAGGAGGGTCAGAACTGATACTTTCCTAATGATTAATATTTCATATACCTAAAATCTGTTCAAAATATTTTTCATGACCATATATGCATTATTTAACAAAACAAAATGGTACTGTTGTTCACATAAACAAGGGTCTGGATGGGGTGTCCTCCATTTCTATATTATTAAATCTTTAAGGTCATTTGTCTCTATTCTTTATACTTTTTGCCCATCATTCTCTTTTCTCAATAAATAAGCACAACATTATTCTCTATTCCTTATATTTTTTAGTCAATTTTTCTCTATTTTTTATACTTTTAGCCATAGTTCTCTATTCTGTTGTTATTCTTTTTGTCACACACTCATTGAACCATGCATTACTAACCTTTTTACTATTCGAGAGTATAAAACAAATAATCACAAATGCTTTACACAACCGTTACAAATAAACTAAAATATAAATGCTAACATTGACAGGCCAAAATTAAAGTTTTATTTAAAATTGAAGTCCCACGCTGGGAAAGGGGCGTTTATTTACATGTGGTCTGTGGAAATTTCAGCATCAAAAAGGGGAAATATATAGCCATAATTTGGCATAAACCGATCTGATCAATAAAATTGTGTTATGGATATTGTCCATATCTTTCTACTAACCATTAAAAGGATATTACTAGGATTTTGTGAGCACAGAAACCTACTATTCATGTGGATCTGTTGAAAAATGGCGTCGATTTATGTGCTTCCCTTTCGCAGCCTCAGTTGCAATTTGACACGGAGTGATGGGTAGTTATGCAAATATTTAGGGACTCCCATCATCATAGATACTATTTTTGGTCATTTTATTTTTAAATAGCCATTAGGATGCAAATGTGTCAGTTATTTTCAGAAGGGGAAAACACCCGCCATATTTTTATCTTCCAAAATAACAACGTCACTTGCCATTTTCAGATGTTTGTTTCTTGTAAAATAAAATCTCCTAAGAAGAAAAAATAGCATGGTCACCTGTTAAACTTACCTATATAACTAATTGATGATGAAATGATGCAAGTTTAATTGTCTTTAATAATAAATTTCTTGAAAAATCAAACGTACACGATGTAAACAAATTACCGAGATGGTGCGATACTGTCGCCGTCTATGTAAAAATCGCGATTGTCGCCCTTGAATTCCTGTCCGTTACGTCATATGGAAGGAGGCGTAGAACTGACGTGTGGCTTTCCCACTGTAACTCTCCCATAACAGCTAAATTACATGACTTTTTATTTACCCCGAGAATGTATTTGTAGTACTTTAAACTTCCCAGTGGGCACTCGACGTTGTAACAACGTTGAAATTTGGTTGAAATTTGGTCGTGACGTTGATCGACCTAAATTCAACGTTGATCTAACGTCATGGTATTCAACGTTGAATTTACGTCGTTAAAATCAACGTTTAAACAACAACGTTGATTCAACGTTGGGACGTTGCGCACGATGTTGGTACTACTTAGCGTTTCACGACGTTCCTAAAAATAAGGCGATTTCGACGATTTCAAAGAAAGTTTCAGGCGTTCAAGCATATTATTGATGATGTCAATTTACTGTTGTGAATTTGGTAACCGATTTCGCTTTGTCTGAAAAAATGCATAAATTTACAAATAAAACTCAAAGTGGTCGTATAGATATTTTTAAATGAAATTCATTTACAGGAGTTGTCAGTCTTTCCAGGTCATAATTGATAATTTTCCTTTCGGCAGCAGTTCGCATTAATGAATCCGATACAATAATGTCCAAATTTACACAGATTTATTTTTAATATAAATTAGATTTTGAATTCATATTCTCCTATTTTTTTTGCATTTTTTATTCCTTTTGTTGCATTTCTTCCCGTTTCCTTTTCCTTTCTATATTTTATAATTTTCCGATGCTTTCTTTGTCGCAAAATATTTAGGAAGTTAAACATTCGGGACTCATGTTTTAAATTTTCTCATTTCCGTATTTTTGTGGCATATCCTTTGTTTGTTATAATTGCCAGCAATGGGTTTTCTCTATTTTATTTTATTAACAAAAAAATATACATGTTACTTTTGACGATTTAAAACTTGCAGATAGACAATGTTCCTTATATAAAACAAATATGCTATAAAAAAAACCCTAAGATCCCGATATTTTTTTTATATCGGTCTCATTTTGTCAACATTTGAATTTAAACTTAAACTATTCCTTTCTCATACATTGGTTGTATTGTAATTTATACATGTATTTTTTATTTTCATTCGAATTAAACTGGAAACAAATAATTACGATATAAAATTAAAAAACAGAGCATGACATCAATTACGTTTTGAGGAACGTTGGGACAAAACGGCTATACTTTTTGAAACGATCTAAAAACCTTGTTGCCTAACGAAAAAATATTAAACACTATATTTTTTAAGAAGAAAAACATAAAAAACCTTTACCGCCAAGTTTTATTTTTTATGATCTAACTATGCTTATTTGATAGACAGCTGGTTAAAACCTCAATTTTAAAGAAAATACAGCGTTTTTTTCGTTGGGACAAGATGGCTATACTTTTTGAAGTCATTGCAACAGAAACTATACGCATGGTTTCCGGCAAAAAAATATCATGAACCAGGAGAAAAGTAAAAAAACTTTCAAAATATAATAAATATTTTTTCTCTCAGCTTTTTCAATTTCACGGTATAAATGCGCAAACCCGAAATATACTTACTTTGCATACGGTTGGACATTTTTCAGACCGTTTACAAAAATAACACTTTCCGGATTACGGTTTCAGTGATATTGATTTTGCTTTAACACGCGAATAATTATAACAATAGCAATATTATTGTGAAGTTTTACGATGATCAGAGAAAAAATACCGTAGGAGAGTAACGGAACTCTGATCTTTTGCACACAAAATGAAACGTTGGACATTACGTTTTTTGCGTAAAAATGGGATAATTAAGTGTTATAATTCCTGGTATTTTAAATTTCGGTTCCTTTTTTTCTTTAATTTCAAGTCTAATGGAATGAATTCAATCAGAAATCACTATATTTTTATCGTACTGACCAGTCTACGTATTTATTTTTATGCTAATCTATAGCAAAATGGAATTGGTACCAACATCGTGCGCAACGTCTGGGTTAACGTCAGTCAATCGCGACAGAAAAATCTCATTGTCAAAATTGAAGTGTATAGATATATTTGATGAACAGATCGGAAAAGAAGCAGTGCTGCAGTATTATAAACGATTGGATAATAAGTGGCTAATCCAGAACTTTTTATAATACTTATAAGGGGGTCCACTGACTGCCATAAGCGTGAGGGGCTTCCTCCTGTCATGCTTCCATGATCCCTATGTAATCAATCATTTTTTTTCCACGAAAAAGGGGGTAGACCGGATTGCATTGTTTATGCATGGAAAGGAGTTTTGGGCATGAACAAGTGGCCAGGAGACATCACCAATAACAAATCGGCTTTTTCAAATTTTTTTTTGTTTGTGTTTATTTTTTAAGTATCTTTAAAAAAAACAATTCTAACCAATTATTAAGTTATTTGGGTTTGATGATTCTCTATATTTTGGGAGATCTCAAAACCTGTTCATGCTATCTTAATTATATGTATATCTGTATAAAAAGGATATATTCTTAGTTTATATTTTAAAATCAAATCGATTTGTTTAGTTGCTTTCTTTCATTTAAATAAATAAGAGAAATTTTTTGGTATATTTATTTTAATTATTTTCACCGATTGATATTTAATATATGAACTTAAAATATCATCGATGTACAATGTAATCATAATAATTGAGAAGTTTTTAAATTTTCGCGGTTTTTCAAGTTGAGTTCCGAATATTTTCTTTCGGATGCGCACGCAAGCACGCGCACCTCTTTTCAACATCCGTTTAGAACATTTTGAAAATCATCCTCGAGAAATTATGGCACCAGACTGATGAACAAATAGTGAACAACTGCGTCTAAGGAATATAAAGACGAGAGAAGACTTTTCTGTATAAACCTCTTGATATTAGCGTAAGTATAGTTTACAGTTAAATTAACGAAGAATCATGATATATACAAACACATTCAAATGATCAAATTAGTTATCTGCATGTTTACGTTCACAGAAATTATGACAAGGTCTTATCCTACTGAATCTGATTCAGTTTCGTGTCAAAACAGTTAAATGATTTGATTGTATATAACCTCTAATTAGCGAACTAAAATAAAACATATCTAGCCATGTACAGAATCAGTAATATCAGAAAAGGGGGGGGGGGGGGGGGGTGCCATCGAACACTAGCCAATTCGTTCCAATACAACTCGATAGGGTGTGTCTGATACACATAGAAATGGTCTGCTCTTAAACACTGTTTAGATTTTTTCGTAAAATATCACTCATCTTTCATAATTTCATCTGTATATGAACATTATGCTTATTGCAAAACACAGATCTGGTTAGAATTCATGCTTTGTCTTGTTATTGATGCAAGCTGGAACAATTGTTTCAAATGAACATGTTGTGTTCAATGATTTAAAATAATTGTTTTATAATTGGTAGAATTTGATAACATTTCCGGCTTTTAAAAGTACACAACTTTTATTATGTAATTCAAATTTATGTTATTTCTCTTCCATGCTTTCAGATGCTGTTCTATTCTTCCACAAAGAGACACCAGAATCCAAAATATCTGAGTAGTGTGCAAGACATGTAAAGTGTGCCCCACAGAGAGCAGAAGGAGTTGCTTGGCCAAAAGAATTAATCTTTAAAACAAAATAAATTTTTCATTTTAAAAACCTCTTTCTTGTTAATTTCTATAGTTAATTTAGTAAAAAAAGGGCAGTGAAATTTAGAAATACATTATTTGGTGTTACCGGTATGCAACTTTTTGTTCGGTTTACTCAATTGTATCGGGTATATAGATAATGATTGAATGAGTAAACAGCTTGGTGATGGTATGGTTTGTTCCAAATGCCTTCAAGATAAATGTAAAAGAAACACATATGATATACCCTCAAAAAGTCAAATTTCAGTTCAACAAGATATCAATAAAAAATTTTAAAGAAAGACAAAAAAAAAAGAACTAAAAATCGGATAACAAAAACTTAAAATGAAATCAGTTTTTTTTTAAATGGTCCTGCTATGTATTCACATAAAACAAAGGAGGCATTTTGTGTAACTGTGTCAAATTTGCTGCATTTACATGATTTTGTATAAGTTGGAAAACTTGATCAACCAGAATCAAACCAGTGTGCTGTAGTGAGTTTTTACATATGTTCCTTTGCTTTGGGAAATTGATGTGCTAGAAGAGAAAGCTTTGTTAATATTGAGATATTTGGTTTCAAATAAAATCTTGATATTGTAACCGTTTCTCCTCTTTGGTTTTGATTGTTATTGTCTACTATTCTCTTTTGGAGTTGTCTCTTGTTGATAAAAGAACTGTTGATGGATATTCTAACTTGAAATAAAACTTGAAAGAGGCTTTTTTATTTCATAATTCAGGTATCTTGTTATTGTATTTGAACAAGTGCCAATAAGGATCAATTTACATCCAAGAACCATCACTTCAACTAACCTACAACTGACCTGACTTCAACCTAACTCTACCTGATTTCAACCTAAACCCGACCTGATTTCAACCTAACTAAGACCTGATTTCAACCTCACTGGACCCGATTTCAACATGTAATCAACGTCAATACAACGTTGAAACTGCAACGTTGATTCAACGTCAGAATTTCAACGTCATTGCAACTTTCAAAACTAACCCAAGTTTCAACGTTGTAACAACGTTGAAGACTGACATTGGGTCAACGTTGATACAACGTTTTGTGCCTGCTGGGTTAAGTTCTCGCAATCAAACTTACTAAATTTGTTCTCAATTTCAAAGGGGCTGTTTGTTTGACATTTTGAAAAATTAAAAGTACAAGTTCCCCAAATTTCTGAGCCATATGTTAAAATTGGCTTTATTGTATGGTCAAAGATATGTAAACAACTATAAATTTTTGGGATTGTTTCACCGAAAGTACTTTTTAACTTGAAAAAAGCTTTTAATCCCCTTTGATACAAATCATATCTAGCCGTAGAAAAACTTCCAGAAGCAGAAAAAATAACACCTAGATATTTATAATTTCTAACATTCTCAATTGGTTCACCATTAAAATAAAAGTTACTTTTAATCATTTTACCACCTTTGTTAAAAATTACAATTTTTGTTTTCTTAAGATTAACCTGAATA